AAAAAGCATTTGTAATGATTGTTATTATTTGTAATAATAGACTTTTATAACAAATAAACTTTTACCTTTCTATTCAATACAATAAATGTCTTTAATATTTATGATTACTATTTTTTAAACAATTATCTATTCTGTGTATTTACTTAATAATCTATAAATAAATAAATAAATAAAATGTACAGTTTTGATATATCCTATTATGAATTAATTTGTTTATAAACACTTTCATTACAAAATTGTTTCACAAGAATTTATAAACTTTTAACAAAATTCCTATCGAAGTCTTATTTAATAGTTAAGTAACAGATTTACTATAACTTATATCAATAAATGATAACATTTCTAAACATCATGTGGTTTTTTTAGTAAAGTGATAATATTTATTAATTACTCAAATGTAAGTCAAATGATTGTTTTGTTGCAATGAAAGTGTGTATTGTGCTTGAGCAATATGTGCTTGAGTACTTTATTGGTATAGTATTTTATATCCTTTAGTTAAATTTGATTAAAAGTACAATTTGTTGATTATTTTTGTAAATTACATTCACTTTTGCATATGCTATAATCTAGTATTTGTAATAGTAATAAGTATACAGTATAATATACAGTATGTTATCAGTGATCATAATAGTCTACTATATTTTTAAATATTTCTATTATATTTTTAGATTACATAGTTCTGTGTATTGTGCAAAAATAAATATAGCAATCATTTGATTATAGTTTTATTTAGAATTCATTTAGTACAATATTTTTGTCTTTATTTAATGTTTAGTAGGATTATCTTAATTTGTGTTCAACTTAATAATAATTATATTATTACAATATAACAATGAGTGAAAAAGACTTTAGAAAATGTGTTATTTGTAGTGAAAAGGCCAGTGGTAAGCATACTTTTTGAAACAATTGATATACACATAATAGTGAAAAATAAAAAATAAAAAGCTATAAATTCTCTAAATTCAATTATTAAGTATTTATTGATTATTGATTTGAATTTTAGGCAATAATTTCAATGCAATTACATGCGAGTCGTGTAAAGCATTCTTCAGACGAAATGCTTTAAGAAATAAGGTTTGAAACAACCATTGGTTTAAAAATATTTGATTCCTTTGTGATCAATAATTACCAAACATTATGTTTGATTTTTGTTCAGGACTACCAGTGCACTTTTAACGGCAAGTGTAATATTGATGTATCGACACGAAAGTTATGTCGAAAGTGTCGGCTCCAAAAGTGTTTTGACTACGGGATGAGAAAAGTATTTATTATTCAATTACATATTTATCGCTATAATACTAGAATTATAGCCTATAATACTGTATAAAGTTTTTACTATAATTCATTATTATGTGTTAACAAGGAATATATTCTGACTGATGAACAAAAACGATTGAGAAAACTAAGAAAACCAATAATTAAATACAAATCAACACTTGATTCAGATACCGGTGACACGTGGGATGGGCCGGTAGTCTACCAATGTGTTGATAATGGCTTAAATAGGAGTTACGATGACATTAGTTGCATATCACAAGACTCTACCCAAAGTGTCATAGCTATAGACCGACCTCTCCCTGACAGTCGACCTCTTGTCGATTGGGAGAGTAATCAACTCCAAGAGATACTCAATGTCTTAAATATATTGAAAAATAGGTACAAAACTAACATAACCTTTGAGGCAACTGATCTGGATATGGCGTGTCAGGCGTTTTCATACAACTGCGAGAGGGATGCCTACAAAATCATCAAACTGTCCAACAGTTTGACGGCCTTTCAAAGTA